TTCAATATCGAGTCAAATAGGACAGTCTAAGATGTTACAACATTTGATTAAGCTCATTCAACATGCACCTCCAAAACTTCGTTTCTTTCTTTTTTTCCGCGTCTTTCTTTTTTGTAGAAAGTCGGTACCCTCCACAAAAATAACGAAATTTTTTTGCTTTTTTGCATTTTCGAGTTGCATGATCACAATACAATGCACACAAGGGTCATGAGTCACACGTGTCGTTTCCCTTCGAGTCGAGTTAACCTTGAGTCAACCACTACGAGTCAAGTTCATACTTTGAGTTGTGTCAAGTCAATGAGTCAAGCAATCTTAAACCTTAGGTCAACCCTATCATAATTAAAGAAATTAGCAAAGTCCTATAGTCAAGGATAAATAGTTTAAGATGTTACAATCCTTGTACTGTAAGAGACAACGTTAACAGATTAAGCTCATTCAACATGCACCTTCAAAAACTTCGATTCTTTTTCGGGTCTTTCTTTTTCGTGAGAAAATCGGTACCCTCCACAAAAATGACGGAAAATTTTTGCTTTGTTTCCATTTTTTGCTTCACACGATCACCATACAATGCACACACGGGTCATGAGTCACACGTGTCGATTCACCTCGAGTCAGTCAATCGTAGAGAGTCAAGTTTATACCTTGAGTCATGTCAAATCAATGAGTTAAGCAAGACTAAGTCTTAGGTCAACCCTAAAGAAAGAAAAGCAAAGTCCTATAGTCAAAGATATAAATGTAGGTGCATCCCAGCGAGCAAGGACATTCCCGGATCTTTTTTTCGAAAAAAACCGCGAATATGACATAGGAGATTCCTCTAAAATAAGAGGAGTTACATGGGTTAGTAAATTAGAGATGAAGAGCTTGAATTTATAAAATATTTGAGCGGATTTGGTTGAAAGGAAACGACCAAGCTTAAAGTTCGGAGCAAAACCAAGCAACAGCGGCAGCAAGAGCAGAGTAGGGAAGACCCGACTCCAGCACCAGATGACAAGGCTGTCATTTGGAAACAATATCTGGCGTATGGCAACAGAGTTCAGCGCCTGGCGCTAGATCCCAGCGTTTGGCGACAGAGCCAATTCTTGGTGCCAGCAATATTTCAGCAGCGACAGAGCTCGAAGCCTCTCAAAAAGGTTATTTCGATCTCATACATCAATTTTGGGTTCCTTGGTACGCCGGTTAGCCCTTATAAGCAAATTGATATGATTAGTAGTCGGCACGATTACAATCGTAGTAAGTGATTGACCTGACAAAAAATCGTCTCACTTAGCTTAAGCGCCTAAAACACTGGCTCATTACAAGCGCCAACGTATCGGTTTAAAAGTAATAACTTAGATGACATTAATTCCAAATACGGATTGTCGCACATTCTTCTTAAACGACAATTTTTTCGAAAATTGGATTGTCATCCCCAACTAACAATATTTCCAAAAATGGATTGTCGTGCATCTTCTTCCACGAAATTTTTTCCAAGATTGGATTGTTATCTCTAGCAAAGTTTCCAAGCGTGGATTGTCGTGCTCCTTCTCTGTTTGACAAGTTTTTCCAAGTTCGGATTGTCATACATTCATGGATCTTTGGCAAGTTTTCCAAGATTGGATTGTCATACACCCAGTTCCCTATGGAAAAATTTCCCAAAGAATTGTCGTAGTTCTCTACTCATCATAAATTTCGGCAAAAAGTTCCTCAACGGGGATTGTCAATCATTTCAGCAAGTGGCAAATTTTCCCGAATTGGATTGTCGATCGACTCTTTTTTGGCAAATGTTCTAAGACACGGATTGTCAATTGTTGCAATATTTTCCTAAGAGGATTGTCACATAGCATTGGCAAATTTCCAAGGTGGATTTCTTTCAGGAGTTATATTCCAAGATGTGGATTGTCGATCGTAGAAAAAATCTTATGACAGATTGTTACGAACCATTGGCAACATTTCCCAAAGATTGGATTTTAACAAATTTTTCGAGATACGAATTGTCGCTTCATCGTGGCAACATTTCCAAGGATGGATTGTTACGTGGCTTTGACAACTTTCCCTAAATCGGATTTTCATACATCATACAAGAGTTGTGATGGAAACTATTCCCGAAGAAAAGAGGATTGTCATAACAGCAAAAGCACCGACATACTGGTTCACAAGTAGCAAAGCGCCGACGTACTGGCATAGCAGCATTAAGGATCAACGAGCAGTGATCTTTTCGAAGACTATCACAACGGGTATTGGAGGCAGTTTCAAGTGTAGCAGTCTTCAAGGGGCATTCTCTAGCATGCAGAAGATCGTCAAAACAAATAGAAGGATGGTGTTCCCTAGCTTGTGGAAGGTTATCACAACAACAGCAATGCAGCAACAAATCGGTTACCTTCAGAGACGTGTGCTTGACGGTGCAAGATACACGTTTCTTAACTCTTTTATCTATTTAACTAACGCTAGTTTCGCAGGTATTGGTGTTACAAGAATGATTTAGGATTACAGAGCGTTCTGAATTATTCTCCGTCCCTATCGCTACTTTGACTTTTGTTTTCGAAACTTGCGAATCTCCAAACTCAGTCAAAGTGGGGGCTTCTGTAGACACCCAAATGTGTCTCCCCAAAACCAAACCCGGTGATGAATACCTTTCATGTAATTTGATTAACGAACAAAGAAAAAGTGTGAAAAGTCTATTGATGAGAATGTTTTTATTAAAATATCCTTTCTTTCTGTTTTTGAAAATATTTCTTTTCTTACCTAATTTATTAAATTATTCCAGTTAGCTTGGTCCATGATAAGGGTCCAATTATGGTGTAGTTTTATGGGGCTTGAAAATACCTTTACAACGATATATTATAAGCCCAATTCCGATGAATAAGGAGGAAGTTATGGCCAAAATACTAAACTTAGCCCAGTTTAGTTTTTACCTACGGCCCAATGATCTAGAGGAGGGCCTATTATTAATTATCATTCATAAAGATATAAGGATTGATTATGGTATTCTAGAATATTCTAGAAGGTTCTTATAAATCCTAATGGAGTTAGGATTGATAATTATGTTTCAAAGAGTTTGAATTGAATAAAACTACTCATTTTTAGAATCCTTGTTTTGTACAAAGTGGAATATATTCAGATTTTATTTTCGTGCCACATAATGTTTGTCCAAATTTTATATAGCTGAATATATCTTCAAATTATCTTTCCAATAATATATTATAATATTAAATCCGAGCTATAACGAAAACGATATGAATGAGATTCAAAACTCTATCCAAAACTGACACCCTTCCACTATGTCGGCCATATGTTTCTTTTACAACATATTTTAGTCTAATTCTTATTGGGTTGGAAAGTAGACTTCAAGAGATTTCCAACGACATATTATATGCCTTATTTAGACTTCCAGATTAAAAGATATGATAAAAACAAAAATGCGTGAAACTGATTATTAGCGTCTGGCGCTAAGGCTTGGCCCCTGGCGTTAACCTTCAGCGTCTGGCGCTAATGTCTGGCGTTTGGCGCCACGCGCGTGTTTGACGCTGCGATCATGTTTTATTCTTTTTAAAACTCTGATTCGTTTTTTTATCCATCCGACTCATTTTCTCTATAAATAGCCTCTTAAAATTCTGTTTTCAATCATCAAAAATCATCAATTTCTACCAATTCTTCTCATCAACTCTCATCAAGAATTTCTTGATTCCCTATCCCTCTTTCCAACCAATCCTTTTACAAACACAATTTCTCATACATTAGCACTAGACACACCTAGCATATTTCGAAGTTGCCTTCGCCCTAGACGTGAAAGGTTTAAATTTCTGAGGGTTTGGTCCCAAATCATTGTTTCAATTATTTAATTTAATTGTTGTTTATTATTTTTCTTGAAATTACTAACGCGTGTATTTTTTTATTAGAAAGAGATACGAGGCATCCAAGTAAGTGCTTTAAGTGATATTTTGATACAGAAATCATGTTTAGATTGCGTATTATGATTCCTGCGATGCTTCCTATTTTCTTTCCTAATATTCATGTTAGTGTCATGTTAGGGCAATATATATTTGATTTTTATTGTTTAGTGACATGCTAGGGGTTGTTATTAATCTTGTTAGTATCATGCTAGGATCTTGCGATTATTATTATGCTTTAACATGATTATGATAATTGTGATTGTTGTTATTATGATTTTGATTATTATTATTATTATTATTATTATTATTATTATTATTATTATTATTATTATTATGTTGCTTGATATATATTTATTGTTCACTACAACAAAAATAGACTAAGAGACCTGTTAAAACATGCCTTAGAGACCCGTTTATAAAAACAAATAGACCCGTTAATAGAGATAAGTGGTCTGTTTGGTGTGGTGTATAATTGATGCACTTTACAGGGAAGGGACCCGTTATTTGCAATTGGGGGTCTCTTTAAGGGGTGTCAAATAAACCACATACATTAAATTACGGGTCTGTTTGATCCCTTTTTTTTAAAAAAAAATACTAATTTTCATATTTATTAAAATTTATGTTTTTTACGCTAAGATAATAAATAGCTGATTTTTTTTGGCAAATTATGAAATTACAATTTAACATCATTTGTATTTCTTTTAAATAACAACAATAGTATTATACAACATTTACAAAGCTACAGATCCATATTTACAAGTATATAATTACAAAACAAAAAATTGCATATCTTTAGTTCAACAAGTTATACAAACACTCTGCAAAAAAAAAAAATTATGCATACACAATTCCTAAACATACAACATACAGTATATAAGTTCTAACTAAATTCAATTGACAATAATCTTTCAACCCCACGCACCAAAGTTTTGCAGTCAACAAATTTGCAAATTGTGATTCTTTGGTTATAAAATACTCTAGATGAACACGCATAATTATGTCTTTCTTCCTATAGTTGAAAATTTTCGTCCACTATCTCCATCTATTTCATATACTACAGTAATCAAGTACAACCCAAACTAATAATCAAAATACCATCCATAAGAAGAAATTGGACATAAAAATTGAGAATAAACTAAAATAGAAATTAATCATTAATTAAAGAGAATTCAAATAGTCCAAGTTTATGAATATGAAATCCCCAAAATCAAGATCAAGAAAACTAAAATCCAAACCCAAACTGATAGATCTAAAAAAACATAAAGAGTTATCCACCCCAATTACCAAAATACCTTCATTTTTTTGAACAAATCACAAAAACAAAAAAACCCAGAAACCTCCATCCTAACCGACATCAAGGCCAATTAAAAACGGCAAACAAGCTGACCACGCACGATTTCAGGTTTGAATTCTGCAATTATTCAAACAAAAAAGAAGAACATAGACATCATTGTTAAATCCCAGCATACGATCTAAGAGACGGAGTAAAAATCACAAATAAGACAGAAAACTATATACCTTAGAGCATGATTTTCTTATGGAGATGGTAGGAGTCGCTTCAACAATGAGTGGAAATTTTTATATCTTGAATACAGAAAGTAAATGGAAAATGGCGGATTCGGATGAGCGAGAAGATGAGGATTTTAATTTAGGGGTTGAGGTTAGGGTTTTGAGGAGAGAGAATGCCAAAATATATAGATGAGGAACATGTGAGTTTAGATGAGAACATAAAATGAATAAATAAAACAATAAGAGTAATAAGAACACCCTTTGGGGTTTTTTTCAAAAAAAAAAAATAACAGTAATATGAAATGGAAAATAAGAGTAGAGAATGTGTTAAAGGCCGAAGGAAGAGACCCGTGAAAAAAATTTGATCTTTTGTTCTTCAATCAAGTGTGTGGGCTCTAGTACACCTAAGAGACCCGTTGAGTGCATAATTAGGTCTTTTATATCTCATATATTCTTAAGTGGTGGGCCCTAGGATATATAAGAGATCTGTTACATTAAATATTGGATCTCTTACATCAAACAGACCCTTTCGTAAAATAACGGGTCTTTAATAAGCGGTATGTTTTCCAAATTTTGTAGTAGTGGTTATTGCTTGATGACATCTTTTATGCATATTTAAAGAGAATTTTTACTTGCAATCACACTTAATAAGATAATTAATAATCTTGTTTAGGGTTAATATGATTATAATTCAATTGATCTCCAGTAATAGTTTAGTTTATTCATTAATATTCAACCAACATAGATAAACAGGTTTAGAGTATACCTAATGATTGTATGTTATTCAGAAAGCGCACATGAGTACGATCTGAATAAAGTAGAGGGCTATTATTAGGGCAGGTTCAATCTCTTTTAGGTTGGATTTGTACCTTCATCCCCGAACTACCAGTCATGGTTCCAGACCTATTGGAGTTGGCAATCTCTTGGATCGTTAAGGGGTGTAACCCTCACCTCGTGAACGGTTTAGAAGTTTCTAAAACTTGTTCACGACTCTTTTTCTCTATCTTCTTTCCCTTTGGACGCCACCTTACTTTAGTGTATGATCACAGTGGGGTTCAAACTAGGGGTAATGCTTGAAATATTCCCTACAGATGCGCAAAGAAGTGGAGGTCTATGTCGATGATAAGATCGTTAAATCAAAAGATCGCCCAGGCCACATCATTGCACTTCTCAAGTTCTTTGAAAGACCCTGCAAGTACAACATGAGATTAAATCTAGAAAAGTGTGCATTTGGGATCACATTAGGCAAACTAATTGGATATGTGATCAGTTCTCGAAGGATCGAAATTGATCCCACAAAAGTCAAAGCAATCATGGCCATGCCACCACCCAAGAATGATAAAGAAATTCGAGTCTTCATTGGAAGGCTGCAATATATAAGTAGGTTCATATCAAAACTCACGGCGATATATGAACCTATATTCAAGAAGTTAATTAAGAAAAATTTCCTAGTCACATGGGATGATGATTGGCAAAAAGCTTTCGACAAAATCAAAGAGTACCTGGCAAACCCACTCGTGCTAGCGCTAGCAATGCCTGACTTTCCTCTTCGACTCTACCTTACGGTCACAAGAGAAACGATGGGGGCAATGCTAGCACAAGAGATCGAAAGCAAGGAGAATGCAATTTACTATTTGAGCAAGAAGCTTCAAGGATATGAGACACGATACACACCACTTGAAAAGTTGTGTCTCGCACTTGTGTGGGCCGCACAAAAACTAAGACATTACATGCTTACTCATACAGTGCATGTCGTGTCCAAGATGGATCCTCTCAAGTACCTGTTCGAAAAAGCAACACTCAATGGAAGATTATCAAGGTGGATAGTCAACCTTGATCAATTTGACTTGAAATTTGTACCACAAAAAGCCATCAAAGGTTCTGCGGTTTCTGACTTCTTAGTAGATTTTCCGCTAGAAGAAGTTGAGAAAGAAGAAGATGAGTACGATTTCCCTGACGAAGATTTACTCATGAACGAAGATGATAGTTGGACGCTCTATTTTGACAGAGCTTCAAACCAAAAATGTTGTGGTGTAGGAGTCTTGCTCGTATCACCCAATGAAGAGCATATCCCAATTTCCACGAAGCTCGACTTTGATGTCACCAACAATGCCACAGAGTACAAGGCATGCAATTTTGGATTAGAAACAGCTGTGGCCTTGGGAATTAAGAGGCTCAAAATCTACGGTGATTCATCACTAATCATTAACCAGATCTCCAAGACATGGAAGGTGAGAAGTGAAAGCCTCTCTAAGTATCAAGCTCATCTGGAAACTCTCACGGACTAACTAGATGAAGTGGAATATATGTACTTGCCTAGAGAAGAAAACCAGTTTGCCGACGCATTGGCTAAATTAGCATCAATGGTGCGAATACCAACAGATACAATCAGAATGCCTTTGACCATAGAAAGAAGAAATGAGCCAGCTTATGTTCACGCACTTGATGATGAACAAGAATCACAAGAAGAAGATGAAGAGCCATGGTATATATTTATCCTTAACTACGTGACAAAAGAAGAATACCCTCCAAATACTGATAAAAGGGCATCCCGTGCTTTGAGGCTCCTGGCCTCATAGTATGTGCTTATCAGGGGAGAACTCCATAAAAGAACTGCACTATGGAGAAATCTCTTATGCATAGCTAAGAAAGAAGCACACAAAACCCTGGAAAATCTTCATGCCGGTATATGTGGAACGTATATGACTGCTAAGATGTTAGTCCAGAAGATTCAACGACAAGGTTATTATTTGTAATACCCCGTATTTTTATACGTATTTTATATGGGTATTTAAATAATTTTGATATTTTAATTATGGTGTTTTAATTATTTATCCTATGTAAGTTTGGAAATATTTTTACTAAAGGAAAGTTCGTTTAATTATTTATTTTATAAAAGTTGGGGTTCTATTTTAGGAAATTATGATTTTAACAAGTTTTAGTAGGGAAGGGATTAGAAAAAACTAAAGGAGGAAAGTTTAGGGTAAAAGGGTGATAGAGAAGGGGTATAAATATCTCTCTTATGAGCCAATTCAACTTTTCCCAGAGTGGAGAAAATCCAAGGTAAACTTCTCTCCCTTTTCTCCTTATTTTTCTTCTTTCTTTTTCTTTCTCCTTCCCCTTCCCCTTTTGTTTTCGCACCACCACCACCACCTGCAACCACCACCACCGATGGGCCGCCGACCACCAGCCACCCAGCCGGCAGCAGCGACAACCACCAGTGCCGGCAGCAGCCGGCAGTGGCGCCGACTTGCTGTCGGTAGTCCTAGGTTTCGAAAAAAAAAATTTAAATCAAATCTTTCTTGCTCAAATTTAATCTATGCTTTAATCTAATTGTAAATTATGAGTTTTGGGATTTAATTTTGATGTTTGATGATTGTAATAATGTTACTTAATTTTTAGATTTGGTTTTTAATTAAAAAGCCCTAATTTTTGAAACCCTAGGTTCTTGATTTATGAGTTATTGAAAGATTATGATGTATATTGGGGTAGACCTTTGTTTTAAGTGTTTCAAGGCTTAGTTACAGCAAGTTTTAATTAAAATAAAAAGCTGGAATTTTATGTAGAACACATAATATTATGTTTCTTGAAGAAATTTTAATTACTTTTTAATTGGGACTTAATTATGGTGTTTTAAATATAATTTCAGCTTACTTTAATTAAATTATGAGGGGTTTTAAAATAGTATATATTGCTGGAAATATGTTTAGAGTGGATTTTAATACTCTATTATGATTTTAATGTGTAGGAGACTTTGAAAAAGCAATTTCTACTAGTCGTGGCAATTTTAAAATCGTACTCAAGGTACGTTCGCGTATTTAGCATATTTTTTGTGATGAAGTATCATGCTAGGCTTGATTTAATTTATCTAAAATAGTATCATGCTAAGATTTATGATAGGAAATTTTGGATTATTGATATTGGTGATTAAATTAGACAGCATGATTTATTTGAGATGGATTAATAGTTGGAAAATTAATGTTTAGCATGTTGTGTTTGAACCACACTTTTATTTATGGCATGTTAGAATGCATGATTAATTAAATTACATGCTTAGTAATGTTTGGAGTATTGAAAAGGAATTTTATTATGGTTCAAATAATTTTTATAAATGCTTTAGGCATGAGGAAGGAGCTATATAAGTGTCTATGTACACAAGGAATAAATTGTATGTTGGTGCCTTTGTGCACTTAAGGTGTTTTTAACACTGAAGGATAGGATTTTTGTCGCTTTATGCGTTTAAGGTGTCTTTGACACTGAGATAGAATTAAAAAGGGTTCAACATTAAATAATATGTGGTCAATAATTATTCAAGAATTAAATTGGTATGTTTGGTTGATTGAATAAATATTGTTGATTGATTTAGTATGGTTAGAGAGTCATCACCAAGTCCAATAACATGTAAATAACATAATGTGAAAAAGATTACGCACTAAAACTCTTGGAACGTATATACCTTGACTATGAACAATGGGGGGAGTTATGGGGTTTTATATTTAACCATAACTTCTAATGGAGTACAGGACGCTGTACATTCCTTTTTATTTATTATTATGCGCAAGAATTCCGCCACCTTTGAGTGGTTTTGTCGTTGGCACGGTTAGCTCCCGTGTCAGTTAAACTCAATTTATTTGGGGGAGGTATAGTTGGAAACCCGTTCAATGCGTAATCAATGATAAATGAATTATTTAGTGTCTAGTTAAAGTGTCTTGTTGGTTATTGTGTGTGCTTGTAAACAGGTGCATTGAGGTAAGTGTGTGTTGATAGGTAAAAACATGTTAGTGTGTTTAATTACGCTTACGTACTCAGCTTTGCTGATTGTGTATGTTTGTGTGTTTGGCCATGTCTTTATCTTGGCCCTATGATGACCCATTTTTAATGGATAGTAGTGGGGACAAGTAGAGATAAACGGTTCAGGTATTGAAGCATATTCATGACGGGGCATGAGTGAAGAGTGAATCATGCTAGTTTCCAATAGTTTACAATGTGTTTTATGCTTTGTTTACTTATGATACTTTTCATGTGGACTAATGCGAAGGCTTGGTTTTTGAACGGTTTTGAATACGGGCCTTTAATGGTTCCAAGTTGTAGTTTGATTTTATTTGACTTTGTTTGTTTGGTTTTAAACTTTACTTTCGTTTGGTTGACTTTTGAGTTGACTTGTTTAAACGGTTTTTAATTTAAAGTCTTCCGCTGTGTATCTTTGATAGTTGGCTTAGCCGTTTTCACGGTGGCGGTAATG